CCCCTGGCTGCGCCTAGAAATTCTGTCCATAAAAATAATGAACAGAACCGGTGACAAAGGGCAGCCCTGCCGGAGTCCAACATGCACTGGAAACAAGTCTGACTTACTGCCGGCGATGCGAACCAAGCTCCTGCTCCGGTCGTGCAGGGACCGGACGGCCCTTAGCAAAGGGCCCTGGACCCCGTACTCCTGGAGCACCCCCCACAGGGCGCTGCGAGGGACACGGTCGAATGCCTTCTCCAGATCCACGAAACACATGTGGACTGGTTGGGCAAATTCCCATGAACCCTCCGCCACCCTGAAGAGGGTATAGAGCTGGCCCAGTGTTCCATCTCTGTTTTTGGACCAAATCAACTGATTTCTCCCTGTTTCCGTCTCTGGCCGTTTCCTATTTCTGTTGTGTTTCCGCGTCTCTGATTCGATCATGGGGCCATTCGATCAGAAATCTTCCCGTCTATTCATGAAAACTCTCAGATGAGGAGAGGAGGTCGGGCAGGTCGTGGCAGAGGCGCGCGGACAGGTGAGGCTTTAGTCACCTTGTTAACCCGTTGTTAGCTTTTTATAAGCACCCGATTAATGTGACGGGTACCTGTTGAAACTCTCGGCTGCTTCTGACCACAAACAATCCTCAGCTAGTGTTTCTGACACCAGCAGCCGGTCACTCGTGAGCTGACGTAACGCATCGTCACCGACGTCTTGACAGAGAAACGGTCAGAAAACGTTGGAGTGCAGGTTTACGGCGTTAACTGTGTCACAGAAAGGGTTAAAACAGCTTGAAATAGCCTGCAAACAGAAAAACTGGTACAGGACGATGTAGATTTGGCACAACGGGAGGGGGGCCGAGCTCCAAATGCAGCTATAGCCAATTGCTGCGCCCACTTTGCGAATGGGCGCGCCCATAGTCACTGGGCGCAAAATTTTGAATGTTGGTTTGTGCATTGTAACATGTAAAAATTACAGACCTGTTCCTTTACTTAGCTGTTGTGACAAGTGAGCATCAAGCCGGGTCTTTAAGGTAGGCTACACTGTTCTTTTATTCTGTGTTTTCATTATGTATTAAGATAGTATATTTGACGAAGGTTAGACGCGCTAACGTTGTCACTGTATTGTACTTTGAGACAGAAGGTCGCTCAGTGAAATAACCGACATTATAAATACGGTGGCGTGTTATCATTACAGTTTGTGTTTACATTGTGAGCGCGACATGATCATTGCTGTTGCCAGGTACATGGCTAATAATACTGGGTCTGTCTGTAACTAATAAACGTTATAATAATGAGTGATCCCTGTGTTCATGTGTGAGCCAGAAAATAGAGCTTCATAGCATTAATGTTAGTATATTTTACGAAGGTTAGACACGCTAACGTTACTGTAGTGTACTGTACATATTGTGTATTTATTTAGTTTTTATGTTGTGCACATTGTGGGGGCATTGAACTGGAGTCCAATTCCTTGTGTTCTTGAAATACCTGGTAATAAGGTTTATGCTTATGCTTATGTAACAGGTGGGTTGGCCACGCCTATCGCCAGGTGAGCAATTTGCTGGGTTGATTATGGATATAAATACCACCCGTGGAGATGCTGTTGCGATAAGCAATTCCTGCGCTGGTCGCTGCTGTAACTGTTTTGACGTGAATCTTCCTCCATTGATCTGTGTCCTGCTTTCCCTTTAAGACTGTTTAGGGGATTATCGCATGCTCTCCAGGGGTGATATTTATACATGTGATCCTGCAGAAGTTTGCGTCAATTGCACATATTGTGCTAGGGTGACGTGCAGCCAAGGAGTGATAGCTACTGCTGCTTTGCTTATGTAACATTTTGCTTCGCTTTGCTTTGTCTGCTTTTATGTTAAGAAGTTTACCTAGCATTATATTTCCTATTTATTGTATTGTTCCCAAGGGTTTAGTCAATTTTATGGTGTGTGAACAGTATGTGAATGGTTTGATGTACAGGGAGGCAAGACCCTCTTACTGTATATTTGGTTTGTTGATTTGTGATTAATTGACTTGTGGTGTTTATTTAATGGTGCGTTTCCAACCTGTTGACTCTGACCATTTTATTCCTGTTCTGCACTGTATTTGAGTGGGGAGTAATTTCTTTTCAAAGGTAGTATTTTAGCTTCTGGGGTTAGGCCTTTTTAAACATTTTCACTGTTAATTTATACACTGACTCGGATAAATTTTCATTCTTGTGGGCAAACCCAATGTCTCTGTGTGTTTGCAGACGTATCTGTGTGTGGTAACCCAGTACTTGTGAAGTTTGTATGAATTTGAGGTGAGATGGAGAGGTCAGCGAGCAGGAGTTCTTACGCGTAATTGTAGTGGTAAAAGCAAACTGAATATAGTCAGAATAGGATCAGAATATAGTTAATATTTATTAGCATAGTTGATAGGCAAATGCTAGTTAAGTATAATATGTAGTATGGTCAGGATGAACTCTCTGCTTTTCTGTGAGGGCCTCTGCAAGAACAAGTGGGCGTCAGACTTCCTGTTTTTCAGTACAAGCTGCAGGGGGTTCCCAAAATAGAGAAGTGTCACCAGGGTGGGGGCCCGTTGGATGTCAAGATCTGGACAATTGCAGGAAGTTGGGATGTAGCCATATAGTTAGCTGCAGGGCTGATCAGGCAGAGAGAGTGTGGGGTGTATGCGAGGACCTGAGAAGACTAACCTGACTGACTCCGAACCTCTGCAGAGGCCCAAATCAAGGTGATCCTGTGTCTAGCCCTTCAAAAACTTTTATCATAAAATATTGTTCAATAAATGATGATTGGCACTGCAGTGATTCTCCCTGTGAATTAATTTTAGACACGACAGATTTGGCATTGTCGGCTCGGTAGGAGTGAGTCAGCGAGGTCCGGCGCCTGGCAGCGGCTTCCTGGGCGCAGAGCCGGCTTTTCACAAGTGGCCACTGAAAAAGGGTAAGTTTCCTTTTTCATATATTGATGAATGGCTCTCTCTGTGCCTGTGGAGCACTGTGTTGAGTGCTGGTAGGTTTGTTTTAAGCCTAAACGTAACTCCTGATTGGCTCTCCTTCAAGTA